GAGAGAGGGGTGGGGGCCAGGCGAGGGAGAGGCAGGGACACGACTTGGCAAACAACACAGCAAGGCTAAACCCCAGGCACTCCGAGGTCGCTCACAGATCAGAGAAGAGGTGAAAAGTGTCACTATAGACTCATTGCATTCAAGCAGCACTTAGAGGCCACCACAGAGCACAGAGCCCCCGTGTTCCTTACCTGCCCCAAAGAGCCGAGGGGCCAGTCTGACCTGGGAAGGGTTGCTAGGCAGATGGGGAAAGAGACCCAGGGAGACGGGATGGCTCTGGCCCTCGGGTCACACGAGGTCTGTAGCCGAGCCAGGAAGGAGCCCTGATTCCCTAAGTCCCTGCCCAGAAGCGCAGCCCCCTGGCTGTTCCTCCTGCGTGAAGAGCCGCTGGAGCCACCGCGCTAGGCTCCAGAGGGGCCTCTCTGTCCCGCGGGGGAGTGGCCCAGCGGCAGCGCTCATGCCGTGCCAGGGAGACCTCCTGGCCTTGTCTAGCAGTGCGAGCTGGCTGTGGGCGCGCCCTCTCTGCCGTGGCTTCCGTGGGCGGCGATGCCATCGGCCACTCCGCAGCCAGGGGCATGCTGCACCGGCAGCCACCGCCTCGGACCGCGTGTCAGGAAGGGACAGGTGGTCTGGGAGCAGGGGTCCCGGTTCAGCCAAGCGGGCCTGGAGCTTAGCCCCCGGCGACACACGGGCTTAGTGGCACCCCTGTGCCGTGGGTCTCGCTGTGTCGCGGCCTCCCTCAGGCCACGGTTCTGTGACTGCTGCTGCTGCACCTCGGCTCCAGCCTCTGCTCCAAACAGAGCACCTGAGGCGCTAAAGCACTGTCTGCCCGGGTGCCCCAGCAGTGCTGGGTCAGCCCATGAAGCACCCCGGGGCTGCCTTGCTTCCAGCCACCTTGGAGCAGACCTCCCATCTCTCTAGCCCACAGCCAGCCTCCAGCAGTGGCTGATGCTGATGCTGAGCAGACGATGGAAAGGAACCCTCCTGTGTCTAGCCAGGGGCTCTCTCCACAACGTGACCCCCCTCCCCCAGGCCCACCGATGGCTCGCTCTGAGCTGAAACTGCCCTGCTCCTTGTCTCAGCTTGGGGCAGCTGCCGAGGTTCGTACCAGCCTCAGGTTTGTCGGAACCCTGCACCCCCTGCCTCCAAGTGGAGCAGTCAGGCATGGAACCAGCAGCCGCGTACATTAGCTCCCTGCCCCAGAGGGGAAAGGTTGCTGTCTGCTGGTACTGGCAGGCCAGCGGACACCTGTTCAGCAACGTGACAGAGAGAATCCGGACGGTTCTGCTCCAGAGAAGATGCCGGGGGAGGGACTGGAACTTTGACTTTGAAGCGGCGAGCTAACATGCCCCCAGCTCCCGGTGAGTCATTCTCCGAGCCGGTCACGGTGGATGTGCTCTGCCATCTCCATTCCAATCTGCCGGGCACAGAGCGCGCACGATGTGAGCAGAATGAAAGCTGAGGCCGCGTCGCAGAACGAAGCCACACAAACTGCCCGTTTCCCCCTCCCCATCTCGCCGTTCAGCTCAGCAGCCCTGGGCCTCGCTTCAGAGAAGAGGGGAACGCACAAGAAATCCTCGCCGAGGAGGAAAAGAAGAAAAGAACGAATGAACGAACATGCTTTACAACCAAGTCTCTCCAGTCCCCTCTGCTCGTCAGCAATAAGCAACGTTCCCCGGCTGTTTGTGGCTGTCAGTCTCCACCCCGAACTCTGCTCCCCACCTGCCTGCTTTGTCTTATCTCGTCTTCTACACAAACACAAGATGCCACTAACCAAAACTGCATTAAAAAGGGAATCTCTGACTTCAAAGGGCCGTGTTCCTGCTGCTCCAATTAGAGGGGAAAGCAATTCCTGGCTGAGGAGGCAGGAGGGAGACTTTGTGCTGCCAGATCCGTTCCAGCCCAGAGCGGGAGCAGGAGAGAGACATCTGTCCCTACTGAGCCCTTTGTAGGGCCTGGCCTTAGGGGAGCACAAGTCCCCTGCAGTTTGAATGTCAGTACTGTGCTGTGCACGGGCGTGTCCTCACTCCGTGGCCACACGCAGAAGTTAGGGACACTAGCTGAAGGAATGTTAGGCTGGCAGAATACCATTACAGAGGTTGGAATGTGCCCAAAGTGAATTCCGATTTTATTTTTTAAATTTGAGGCTGGCATTTTTCTGTTCAACGCTTTTTCTTTCTTTTTTTTAATACGCTGTTTTACTGCTTTTTAAGAAAAGACCACTGTGCCAAAAAAGGTGATTTTTCCCAAGAATTTAAAATGTTTCTTTCAAAACTTTCCCCTTTTTTTCCTAATTGTGCAGCTTTTTATTTGCCATTTTTCACCCACTGCCAATTTTGTCTAAATGTTGAATTTTTACAAAATTAAAAATGTTTTATTTCAGAATTTGGAAATTTAGTATTTTGAACGTGACCGTGGTTGGAAACCTCCCTTAAAATGTCTGGATTCAAACAATATTCTGAAAAACATACAAAATCCAAAAAAGCCTTCAGTCAACAAAACTGCTTGCAAAACTGTCATGGAAACTTGATTTGATTTTTCAGCCAGCTCTAATGCTGAGTTGATTCTTCCTGGGGTGGATGCTCCGTGTTCTCCGCTGAAGTAGAAATGTGCACCTGATGTTTTTGCTGAGAGCACTGAGGGAAGCCGCCGTGGAAACCAGCATTGATTTTCTGTTTGAAAGCAGAGAAAATTGTCATTCCGTTTAGTTCTGAGCTGTGGTGAAGGACATTCCACCACATGAAGTAATCCTAGCAGCTCTCACAAGCTAAATGGGCTGTTATGGGCAGGGGGCTGGACTTGATGACCTCCTTAGGTCTATTCCAGCTCCATGATTCTATGATTCTATGGAGATGGGAGACCTATAGTCAATAGACTGTACTCAGTAGGTGGCTCTCCCCGGTGTGAATCGGCTCAGAGCCACCACATTTGGGCGTGTGCTTTCTGCCTCCCTCTGTGGTTCAAACAGGATCCTTCTATAGATCCTGCCCTGGGCTCACTGCTACATTCTCAGCATTTCTCCGGGCTCATCGCTGTTTTGTTTAACTTGTGTTAAACAGCTACCGAGTTCCACCCAAGAGGTGGCTACAATTCAGGGCTGGTTCTATGTGAGCAGCATACAACCTGTCCCTGCAGTCCTTGCATGGTCAAAACTGCGATGGGAATTTCTGCTAGGACAACCAAGCTCCTAGCAGACGTTATAACAGCTCTTGCTCCACGTCACCGGACCACTGCTTAACTCTGACCCTGTAGGGCCCCTGGCATTGTGGGCCCTGGGCCATGGATGGCTGTTCCCTGTAAGCTGAGCGCTTGGGTGGCCACCCAGGAGAGATTCAAATGCTGCCCACCTGATTAGCAGAGCACCCACTGTGCCCACAGCCAGCAGCATGTGTTTCTACTGGTGGTGCACATCCACACATGCCTCAGTGCACAGAACAAAATTTATCCCAGACATAGATAGAGACAATTAGGAGGAACACTGATGGCTGGGACTGCTCACACTGCCACAACACACACCATAAATAATAATGCACCGAGCTGCTTTCTAGAGTTCAGTGCCGTCCCCAGCCCAGAGCGAGGCTGGCTTTGCCATATCTGAGCCTGTGAGCGGTGTAGCCAGCTACAGGTCACAAGGGACCATTGGGATCATCTGGTCTGACCCCCTGCACATTGCAGGCTACAGAACCTCAACCCTCTGCCCTGTAAGAGACCCCTAGTCTCTGTCTGAGTCACTGTCATCCTCAAATCAGGATTTAAGGGTTTGACGTTATAGAGACTGCACCATTTACACTAGCTGAAACCTGCCAGGGCCCCTTGCCCCTTGCTACAGAGGAAGGTGAAACCCCCCCAGTGTCTCTGCCAGCCTGACTTTGGGGGGAAATTCCTTCTCCACCCCAGATGCAGCAATCAGTTGGACCCTGAGCATGTGGGCAAGACCCCACAGCCAGACACCTGGGAACAAATTCTCCGTGTAACTCCGAGCCCTCCCGCTCTGGGGTCCCATCTCCACCACCGGACATACTTGCTGCTTGCAGTCACAGCCTGCTGCCTGCCAGTGTCAGCAGTGCCACCACCCCACCCCCTCCAGAAACTTGGCAAGCTCAGATTTGCAGCCAGTTGGGTCTTGTGCCCCCACGGCTCCCCTTGGGAGGCTGTTCCCGACTGTCACTCCTCTGACGGGTCGAATGTCACGTCTCTGATGGGTCGAATGTCACGTTTCTGACGGGTCGAATGTCACGTCTCTGATGGGTCGAATGTCACTCCTCTGATGCCTTGAAACTTTCGGCTCCTTTCAAACCTAACTTTGTTGCTGGACCGTTCATAGCCATTTGTTCTTGTTTTCACATGGGCATGTAAATAACTCCTCTCCCTCCCTGGTACGTGTCCCTCGGATGTACTTTGAAGGAGCAGTTGTATCTCCCCTCAGCTTTCCTCTGGCGAGGCCAAACAAGCGAGCTCTTCGAGTCTCCTCTCCATAGGTAGCTTTCCCATTCCTCTGACCAGCCTAGTGCCTCACCTCGGCACCTGTGCCACTTTGAACGCATCTTTCTGAAACATGAGAGATCAGAGTTGGCCAAGAGTGCCAGAGGGTCTCCCCAGTGTCCAGGTGTACACTGGAACCAACATTTCCCTGTCGCTATGGAAACACCTCGCCTGACGCAGCCTAAGACCATGTTGGGCTTTTTCATGGTGTCACCACAATGGCAGCTCATAGTCACCCTGGGGTCAGCCCAGGTCTTTCTCCTTGTCTGTCATTTCTAATACATCCCCAGCTTATAGGGAACATTCTTGTGGCTAGTCCCTACTGCTACGTCTAGACTGGCATGATTTTCCGGAAACGCTTTTAACGGAAAAGTTAAAAGGGCCAGCTGTCTACACTGGCCCTTTTGCGCAAATGATTTGCGCAAAAGGACTTCTACCTGAACGGGAGCAGCATAGTATTTCCGCAAGAAGCCCTCATTTCTTACAGTAGGAAGTCAGTGCTTTAGCAGAAATTCAAGTGGCCAGTGTAGACAGCTGGCAAGTTTTTCTGGAAAAGCGGCTGATTTTCTGGAAAACTGGCCAGTCTAGACACAGCCTAAGTGTATGACTTTACACTTTGCCCTATTCCCATTCCCATTTGTATTATTTCAGTTTTCAAGGCCACCCTAACATTGTACAGTATTCCAGTCCTTTGTACTGGCAATACCCCCACCTTTGGGCCATCACACACTTTATTAGCCAACACCCACTTTTGGTGCCAAGATACAAATGCTAAAGAAGATCAGTCACAAAACCAATCCCGGAGGAATTTCACTAAAATAAGCTCCTACCAGCCTGACAGGTAGGACCCTTTCACCACTTCCGTATCCACCATCAGTTCTCCTCTTAACCCTATCTTCTACGATTCAACAAATAATTTTCCATGTGGGACAGCATCAAATGCCCTGCTGAAATCCAGGTAGATTCGATCTACTGCATACCCGTTGTCTAAAAAAATGAGTTCTCTTCTTGAAAACACTGATCCACTTGGCCTGGCATGAGCTACCTTTTATCAAACGTGGTGTTTTATCCCGACCCAATTCACTTCAATACCCTGAACTTTCTCTTTCAGCATTTGTTTCAAGACCTTGCATACAACAGAGCTCAAACTAACAGGCCTGGAGTTTCCCAGCTCATTTCCCCCCTCTTTCCTAGAAACAGGTCCTACGTTAGCCATTCTCCAGCCATGACCCCCCGCGTCACACGATCCTTCAAAACCCTTGCTATTGGGCTTGCAATTGCTTGTGCCTGTTTCTTGGGTGGAGATTGTCCCAGTCCCTCAAATTAGTTCTATGAAGCTGTTTTCTGCTTGACTCACCGTGCTTCGTGGTCCCACTACGTATTGCCTTGTTTTTATGTATTTATTTGGCTAATTTTCTTGGCAAGGTCCAGCCCTGCTGGGCTTTTGGCAGCTCTCACTTCTCCCCTGCACTTTCCGCCCCCAAGAGGTCGCTTTCCCCTCACTGATCCTGCCCATCTGCCATTGCTGGGAGGCTCTCTGCTTTCCCTTAATTTGCTGTTCAGAAGCTTCCTCATACGGCCCTTCCCTAGGGGTTTGCCCAGGTAGGTCACACCGCGCAGCCGCTCCATCCCAGGCTCTGCACCCTCCAGAATCTGAGCCACGTCTCCTGTTTCTATGTCTCCGTGCCTCGCGCCCGCTGCCTGCCGGCTCTGTGTTGACAGATGCTGCGCCTGCCCTGCCCGGATCCCTGCTGCTCGCTGTCTTGGCAGAGGCATGTCAAGGAAAACTGAACCTGTCAGAAAGCCCAGGTGATGCATGTTGTTTTGTGCGAATCCATTAACCTTTGCTCCATCCTTTTAAAGCCCTGGCAGGGGAGCAGGGTCTCCCAGAGCAGAGCTCACTGTGCTCCTGATGCCTTGGCTGGGAGTCTCGGTGGCCTTAGCCTGTGCTGCTCCTGTGAAGCCCCGAGGCCATAAGCATCCTGCTGTCACATCGCGCAGGCTCCAAATCTGACCTCCCTCCCTGCGTCAAGCCGTGCCCTGCCCTGCCTTGCACAGTTCTGAGGGCTCCAAGCCATTTACACGCTGGCTCCCTTTACAGGCCAAACTCACGCCTGAGCTAACTCCGCTGACTTCGGGCCATCCCTGGGCTTGTCTTCCCACAGCGTGAGGGCCTGCTTCACTAGTGCCCGGGCAGCCAACCCACAGCCCCCAGAATTTTTCCCCACCCCACCAAATAATGAGCTTGTAGCATTCCAGGAGTGGGGACCTTGCACGGTTCAGTTAGTGCAAGGCAGGTGTGAAATGCTACTGTCACAGCTCCCCCTGCTGGTGGCTCACCAGATTGCTGTGAGGAGATCCCGGCACTAGGACCCCATGTCCACTCTGTATGTGCGGTTGTAGAGATAGGGATGCAGATGGCCCTGGCTCATTCCTGCCCATACAGATGAAAATACAAATTTTGTATCTGTGCAGGGTTCTACCCCTGTGCCCTAAGCTCCCCTGGGTCTCAGCAGACTCCAGCCCGCTCTGGCATATTTCCTGCCACTGATTGTCACAGAAATGGAGCTCGTCAGCCCACCTGCAGTAGGCCCGCAGGACCTGCGCTGACCCCCAAATAGCCCCTCTCCCAGAATCCCAATGGAGGGGGGAGCGGCACAAGCCTTTTGCTTCCCCTCTACCAGCCCTGAGGCTGCATGAGCAGCGCAGAACACACAGGTGTGTTGCACAGACACCTGACACCTGATTGCTCCTTCCTTGAGCACATGAAAAATACAGAGCTCTAGGAAAAATAATAATAATAATAATAATAATAAATGCTGCCCACATCTCCTCATCCCTCCAGCATCACTGGGCCCATCCAGAGTTCTGCGCCCGTGCATGGCTCATGTTCTGGAACATGGGGCCATCTCCCCGGCTCTCTCTTCCACGTTCTGTCCTTAAAAACAATTAGATGTCCTGTCGCACCTTAGAGACCAACAAAAAATATAGACAGTATCCTGAACTTCCGTGGCCACAACCCACTTCCTCAGAAGAGCAGAGTGGAGAGAAAAGGGGGGGGGCTCACAATTTATGACAGAAAAAGAAGGGGGGCCGTACCTGTCAATAGTAGTGCTGGTGCTAACGAGGCTAATTGAGTGGGCTGGAAGTGTCCCATACTTAGCTTTCGATGTCGGTTGGGTGTTGAGTGTAAGGAAATCTGGGTTCATAACGGCCCATCCAGTTCAGGTCTCTGTTCAAGCCAGGAGAGAGAGTGTCAAATTTGCAGATGAAGGCAGTGAGGAGTGACGGGGCTCAGGCTATGGGAGCCCAGCCTGAGATGCCTTGAAGGAGCTGAGCACCTGCCCTGGAAATTCGGCCCAGTATCCCCCAGGCACTCATTACCTCGGAAATGTTAGCCGTAGGCGAGTTGTTGGCATCAGAAGGCAGCTGCCAATGAGAATAACAGCCTGTGGTGCATACGGCCTTTGTGCCGGCCCGGCGGTGTCTTCACACAACGAATACTAACTATCCCTGCTCCTGCTTTCCAGCCCCCCCTCGCCTGAGCCTTACCAGGGAGGTTGGATTCCCGCCCCCAGCTCGCAGGCGGAGAAGCTGCAGGAAGAGGGTTTGTGGCTCAGATCAGTGCACTGCTACACGCCCAGGGCTGCACACTTACACTAGCCTGGGGAGTACGGGATAATCAGCGAAACGTGAGCTCCCAGGGCGATGCCGCGATGCCGTTCTGGGATCCAGGAAGCAGGGGAATCACACGTCTATTTCACCTCTGTCTTCGGCCCTCCTGGGGTGGCTGCTGGACTCCTGTCACGAGGGACATCGATCAGTTGGAGGATTCAAAGAAGAGCCACGAAGATGACAAAAGGGCCAGGAAACCTTCCTCAATGAGCTCAATCTGTTTAGTTTAACAAAAAGAAGGCTCCGGGGTAACTTGGTCACAGTCTGTAGGTACCTGCCTGGGAACGGGATTTAGTAACAGGCTCCGAAGCCGAGCAGGGACAGGGGTCTAAGATCTGTGACTGAGATCATGAAACATGACAGGCGTTTAACCAATGCAGTGACACCTGTCGCTCTGCAGCAAGCCTGTGTAACTCGCACCCCTAGTGTGGTTCACTGTCCCTTGCAGTGGCACTTAGACCGCTTACAGCGAGAGATAAGAACAAGGGAGCTCTACAGCCAAAGCTGAGAGCCAGCTGGCTTTATAGCTCAAGCTGTAGAGGCTTCTGTACTAAGCTCCACAGATCCCTGGCAGCTACACCAACAGCAGTAATTCTGTGAGGCCTGAACTCCCTCCCCCTTCACTAACCTCTAGGACAGCTGTGGTCCCCTAGGAAAGTGCAGCTGGGCTCACAGCACCCAGGAGAGCAGGGCTGCCCCTGGACCACACAATCTGCTGTCGCACTGCTGGCCTTTCCCCTTGACAGACTCCTTTCTACCATCACAAGAAGGTCTCTAGGCAGGGACCCGTCCCAAAAAAACACGAGAAACAACCTGGCCTGAGCAGAGATTTTAGACCCTCACAAAGGGGAAAGCCAGCAGCCTGGGTGTCACCTAGAGCAGTAGGGCAGTGGGCTGAGGGGCTGGTGGCAGGGGACCTCCACTGTTTCAGCAAATTCTCTTGTTTGGGACAGGTCAGGTCCAGAGAGTGCGGAACCTGAGAGGTGCAATCTGCATAACTGCCGAGATCTGCGCTAGCCTCTTGTACCACAGCACCACACCGGGAGCTCCTGTTCCACTGCTTGGCCCTGAATCCTGCTCCCAGACACAGGCCGCGTGGGGAGGCAAGGCCTGTGCTCCGTGGAGCCAGCTGGGGCCTTGCCCTGCCTGTACTAACGTGCGTTCTGTTGGAAAGGTCCTAGCTGCTCAAGCGCTCCAGAGCATGCCGGGAGACGGCCCTGTCCTCCTCATCCTCTCCCACTCTGTCAATCTCTGCGTTGGCTGCCGGCTTAATCGGCCGTGATTGCATGTTGTTAGCCAGCTGCTGAGGGAAGGGCTGGAAGATTTTCAACACCACTGCGGGGGTTAGAGCGTTTCTTCTCCTTTTTTTTGCTTCCTTTGTAATGAAAGCTGGGAGTCTGCACCATCCCCGTGTGCCGCATGATCCCAGCAAGCAGGCCTGATTCCGCACACGGCTCAGGGGTTAGTGCTGCAGGCTCCCCCGGAGCAGCCGGTACATACAGAGCAGCTCCGTGGAGCCTGGTCACCCTTGTGCAAGGCAGGGAGCGGGAGAGGCAATGCGCCCCTCCTTTGGTGGGCATGGTGACTCACCGTGGGTGCCAGCGTTTGCACGGGGCCCGGAGGCCGTCACTCGCACAAGGAGCCGGAACTGGCCCTGACAAACCGTCTCTTGTTACTCATCAGACTGTCCCATCCCAGCTCATGCCCAGTCCCTGGATCCTGATAGGCGCTTTGTTTTCTACCCTGCTGGTGCAGTGTGAGCATCCAGGGCAAGTCCCTGTGGTGCCTGCAGTGCTCAGCACCATGGCGCAGAATTGGACCACCCATTGCCGCAACCACCTCCTCTCCTGCTGTAAAACCCAGTCAGCCCTGCAGAGCTGAAGAATCCAGGACCGGGAGTGTAGGAGACAAAGGGAAAGCCAGGGGAGAGGGGGAGGCTTGCTATGTAAACCAATGCCTGCCATTCGGAGGTGAAAATGTGTCTGCACTTGGCCTCTTCTTGTCTTGCTGCAGCCCCCAGCTGCCCTGCGTCAGCCAGTGTCGGCCCTGCAGCTGGCAATGGGAATGCAACAGAAATTCCCAGCTCCCAGTGCATGGCCATGTGACTGTATGGGGTGGGCTGGCAGGGAGGATGCTGCCAGCTGGGCGAGTAACACCGGCTGCTTTCACTCCAGCCCAGAGACTTTGTATTTCTTTATTTGCTGTTTTTATTTTCTGAGCCTCAATGAAAAAGGCAGGGTGGTGCATTGGTTATGGCAGCCATCTGAGATTTAGGAAGGCTGGGTTCAGCTCTGCTACTGACTTCCTCTATGACCTTGGGTAAGTCCCCAAGGCTCTGGACCTTGGTCTCTCTGCAGAGCTCCTTCTCAGATCCACTTAGCCCTGTAGGCACCTTAACATGCTCTGGGCTTGTACAACAAGCTCCTGGGTGCCAATGCTCACCCTGACTGGCTGGCTGCTTTAGCTGTACTGATGACTGCCTGGCTATTTTTTCTCTCCTCTTATTGGCTAGTCATTTATTCTCTGCTGGAGACTGGCTATTTTATTTTCTGGATCTGCTGATTTGCTGGCGGGGGGAGGAGGGAGAGAGGGACGGGTTAGGGTACTGACAATTTTTTCTGACCACCCCTCTGCCTAGCGGATTTATGGGCCCTGATCTATTTGGCACGCTGAGGGGCTGCCTTACTCCACATGCTCCAAACGGCCCTCCCCTGGGGCAGGCGGTTGGGATGTAGATGGGGTTCTAGGTGCCGGCTCTGGGACAGCGTTTGGATGCAGGAGTGCTCAGGGCTAGGGCAGGCTGGAGGGGGTTCATGACTGGGGTAAGAGTTAGGGATGTGGGCTCCAGCGGGGCCCTGCTTACCTCAGGCGGCTCCTGTTTGGTGGTGCAGTGGGGCTAAGGCAGGCTCACCCCTGCCCTGGCCCTGCACCACTCCCAAAAGCAGCCAGCAAAGGCCTGTTGTGCCCCCTCTGTGCTTTGTAGCGACGGGATACAGAGTGGGAGGGGACGGGGCACCTTGACATCAGCACCCTCCTCTCCCTCCCCTGCCCTGCACAGGAAGTAGGAGGGTCCCCAGGGGGAGGGGTAGCTCCAAGGCAAAGAGCAGGAGATGAGCAGCAGTGGGGGGAGAGGCAGTTGAAGTGCCGGCACATGGTAGCCTCTTGGCCAAACCAGTCAGGATCACCTGCCAGAGGCGCCAAGATCTGCCAAGAGATCTCAATAGACGGGTTGGTGACCACTGGCCTACACTGACCTGACCGGGCACATGGACAGCCCCAGGCCAGCAGGGGGCGACTCTCCCACAGAGCGAGCCTGCGCGGGCCCCACGTCCAACCTGCCCACGTGTCCAGGGAGCAGGGTGCCAGCTCTGCACCGTGAATCCAGCAGGGCCCTGGAGCAGGGACTGCAATGACCATTCCAATGCCCAGGTGCTGTGGGGACTGGCCCAGCATGGCCCCCAGCGCAGAGACGGCCTGCCCCAACTGACACCATAGAAACAGTCCCCCAAAGGACACGGAAGCCATCACTGTGCTGGGGGGCTGGCAGCAGAGCTACATGGTGTAGACCCGGCCTTAGTTTCTGTGCAGGGCCATTCTGTGCCGGGGTCCCATTCATTGGATGGTTGGGGTGGTCACCATGGGCCCCCAAAAGCAGGGGGCCTATGGATAGGGTGGTTGTAGTTCTGTGACATACCCAGGTGCAATGCACACCAGTGGTGCTGTCACTCCCGCCTTGCACCCAGGGGTGCTTTAAATCGCCTGGGCTACTCGCCAACAGCCAACATGCAGGTCATACCCTGAATGCCTGTGAACGCAGCCTGCCAGCCACGCAGGGGTTACCTGCTCTCCCCAGCCTTGGTTAGACAGCAGGGGGACCCAACACCCCCCATGCTCAGATGTTGCCCCAGGAATGGAGGCACTGACCTGACTGGCCCTTTCCTGGACAATGCAAATATTTCCAGTGTGCGATGCCGTAAGGGAATGATATGCCAGTGTGTTAACTCAAACAGGGATCAGACACATTGGAGTAGATCAAACAGTAAAACAAGCAGATTAATGACAGAGAGATTTTAAGTGAATACAAGTAATGAGCCATAAAAGTCAGAAATGATTTCAAGAAAAGCAAGGTAAAACATTTACAGTACTAAAGTCTAATGTGATTAACTTTATTAGATGCAAGCGCAGCGTCCCACCACATGCTCCAACCAATTACTGACCAAACTCTCTGGTTAGCTTCCCTCCAGAGTCCAGCACCTGCGTCCTTTGTCTCTTCAGGTGCAGTGAAATGCAACGGGAGGGGGTGTCTTGGGGTATTTGTCCCTCCTTTGTATAGTTTCATTCAGCTCCCTTCTTGAAAAACATTTCCAGGTAGGCACTAGGGGTATGTCTACACTACAATGTTAGTTCGAACTAACGGACGTTAGTTCGAACTAACATTCATAGCCACTACACTAGCGCTCCGCTAGTTCGAATTTGAATCGAACTAGCGGAGCGCTTAGTTCGAACTAGGAAAACCTCATTTTATGAGGATTAAGCCTAGTTCGAACTAGCTAGTTCGAATTAAGGGGTGTGTAGCCCCTTAATTCGAACTAGTGGGAGGCTAGCCCTCCCCAGGTTTCCCTGGTGGCCACTCTGGCCAACACCAGGGAAACTCTATTGCCCCCCTCCCGGCCACGGAGCCCTTAAAGGGCCACGGGCTGGCTACACAGTTTGTGCCAGTTGCAAGGCTACAAGCACTCGTGCCAGCAGACCCTGAACCTGCCACAACATGAGCCAGCCACCCGAGGACACCCAGCCCTCCAGTGCTCCCCAGGACCAGCCTGGCGGCTCCCAGGAGCCTGCCCGGGGGCGCAAAAGGCAGGCGCCCGCCTGGTCAAGTGCGGAGATCGTGGACGTCATCGAGGTTTGGGGGGAAGCCTCCAATGTCCACGATCTCCGCACTAGCCACAGGAACGTGGCTGGCTGGGGCCGCCT